AAAAAAAAAAAAAAAAAAAGTACTAACGATTCAAAACTTATTTTTAGTCAACAAAAAAATTATAGAAACTATTGCCTTTATTTCTTCTAAAATTGGAGTTTTGCCAGACATAGTGGCACACACCTATAGGCCCAGCACTCTTGAGAGGCTGAGGCAGGAGAATCACAAGTTCGAGCCCAGCCTGGGTAACTTAATGACTTAGCAAGACCCTGTCTCCAAATGAAAACTCTTTTTAAAAAGCTTAGTAGCTCTTTGTAAAGGCCCTGGCTTCAGTCCCAAGTGCTGCGAAATAAGTAAATTGGGTTTTGCTTATTAGAAGCATAGATTATTGATGTTTAATAGAACGAATGACGCTTTCCAGCAAAGCTGCTCTGTTCTGCTTAAAGAAACCCATTTCTGATTTTGTTTGTTCAGAGCCACCCCTTGACATCATTCCACACATCTTTTCCCTATGTTCAGAAATATGTTTGTTTGGTTGGTTACCATAGAAACTTCTTTCCTGATTGCTGTCTCTTTGGAGTTCTCTCCATTCTTTCTATGCCAATATTTTATGAAGTTTGTGTTAATCTGATTGGCAACATTGGGAAACAAAAGAAAAAAATATGGCCATTGTGCCATACTTCTCCATTCTGTATTCTGCTATAAATGTTTGTCTCTAACACAAACCCTTCAGCATTCCATGATATATATATGTTATTTAGCTACCGGCTCAGAATCCAGAAGTAGATGTCCTATAATCACTTCAAACCATGTCATTATCTCTGCCACCCTGTATAAACTTGTTAGAAGGAAAAGTGAAATGGCACTAGGTGTAGAGGAAAGGCACACCTCTGTAGGATTCTGTTAACCAGTGAATAGAGGACAGTTTGAGACCAGGAAGATGAAGTAAAAGCAGAAACACAAGCCAAGAAATACTATTATGGAAGTAATTATTACAGTTATTATGGTTAGTAATTACTATAAAGAATTTATTACTTTTAATATATACCTATAATAAGGATATATAATGATTATAAGTCATTTAAAACATTACAGCCATATCATTTATAAATAGGTAAGTAAATAGGAGAAGGGAAATCACTTGCTTACAGCAGCAATGCTGAAGAATAACTCAAAGTGATCATGGGGTTGGAAAATCATTTTACAGCCGTGATTACAGGGTCAAATAAGAGAAGATAGCATGACTTACCAGTGGATACTAAATTATTGAGGAGCAGGATATTTGCATGATCTTAAAATGTATCCACACAGATTGTTCATTAGTCAAACAAAGAGAAACTAGTTATACAGAGGCTCTCTCTAACCCCGTGTTCTAAGGGACAGATGGCCGTGGTGTGACTCCTAATACAGTACCTAGAGGAGGACCTCGCATCCTTTGTGCAGTATTCTAATTATGAGGAAACACCAGAATAAGCACATTGTGGTAAAAAGTAAGGATCGGACTGTATGCACATCAGAGACAACAATGGCAAAAAAAGAGCAAAGAGACAGGATAGTTAAGTACAGTATCTCATCCCAGGCTGTGTTCCATAGTGGGTGAGGGAAGCTCCAAAAAGAGACTGACAGAACTGGAATGTGGACGGTGATTAGTTAAAATACTTAATTGGAATAAATTTATGAAGTTGATAACTATCCTATGCTTATTCCTAGTTTTAGGAAATACACAATGATATATTCAGGGGTAAAAAACATGATGTGTTAAATATATCCTCAAGTGGGTCCCCGAAACATTGGGAGTGTGTGCTTATGTGTGAAAACAAATGAGAAGGCATATGGGATAAACTACTACTAAGAGAAGCTAAATAAAAGAAGTATGTGTCATCTTTGTACTATTTTTATTTAGCAACATTTTATAAATTTGAAATTATTTTTAAATGAAAAGAAAGGAGAAAATAATTCTTCAGTTTCCTCCCCAGAAATTCTGATTCAGTGGGTCTGAGATGCAGAGGCTGAGTGTTGGTTGTCTTCTTAGAGGTTCCTTGGGTGATTCCATCCGGGAACTTGGCTGGGGGACATAGCCCTCAGAGAGCAAAAGGTGTATAGTAAGTGAGAGATGGACAGAATGGTTCCCATTTTTTTTAAAAAGTGGATTCTGCAGATTAAAATCCACTTACTATGAAGTTAACAGGCAACATTGTAGAGTAAAAGTGATTAGGACTAAGTCATGCCTGGCTAATGTACCATTTTTGGTATATTTGATAGACATTTGAAAAATGCCAATTTTTTCACTCTAGAAAATAAAATAAGGATCAGACATTACTAAATACAGGAGGGAACATAATTTGCTCCCTGTAATGAACTTTGTAGTAACAAAGCTACCTTAAAAAAATAGATGGAAATGCACACTGACTTTAAAATTACTCCGGTGAGGGACATAGCTCAGTTGGGGATGGAGTATTTACTTCCTTAGTGTGGTGATGCCCTGAGTTCATCCCAGTGCCGCACTTATATAATTAAAATAAACTGAGAATGAAGATGCTGAGCTACCACTACCGAGAGATGCTACTTCAGGGACTTTACCTTCACAGAAGTTAAATTAGAGCATCCTGGGCTCCCTTTTAACTCTAAAATTGAGCTGTTCATTAGAAGGCCTCTAATTTGTGACTTGTTAATAATCGCAGAAAAGCTACAGTTAGGAAAAAAGTTTTGTGAAACACTTTCTGAGAGTCAAACACTTTTGAGGAACCAGGTAAAAAAGCCACCACAATCCAAAAAACACCCTAATCCCAGACTATCAAAAGATCATCAGAGAACCTTTGGCCTTTACTTTAAACTCTAAATAAAGTAACATGAGAAATTCAGAAGTGAACATTGAAACTCTCCAAAACTCTTAAAAATGAAAAGTTATGGAGAGATAATTCTTGGCCATATCTATCATGACCATATCTTGTCATTGTTATTTGACTCTTGTATATAACTAAACTACACTTTTCATTAACATTTCCTGAAGCAAGGTAAAGGAGAAAAGATTGATTATAATCTTCAGTGATATTTGTGTTTAGACTGTCTTGAGACACCTTGGATTTTTGTCTCCCTTAGGTTGCTTTTCTTCATAAATTTTAGTTCGTGAGTGGTGGTTATGAGAATTAAAAACTTTTAAATTTTCTAAAAGCTATTCCATACCTACTGGGTGAAAGATTTGGAGATCTGATTAGATATTAACGCAGAGGTTAAGAGTATGTCCTTAGTCCTGGCTCACGTGTCCCAAATGAGTGTGCTTGGACTGGGAGAATGTAATTGGATTGGAAATGGGGAGGAAAGACACAGAATAAGCTTTTTGTCTACAACACAGAAGTGAGTTTCTCTTTTTGCTGTTGAGTAGATGAGTTATGGAGCATTTAGAGGTGTGCATAGCCATGTGAAAAGCTACCTTTTAAAGTCATAAACAGATGCCCCTGTTCTTGTAATCTCTAGGCAAAGAGAAAAACCACTGCCACATCTAGATATGTTCTAATAAGCAGACAGAACAAGCATTTGTAGGGTATTATTTAGACAGGTGAAATCGTGAGCTCTTCAGAAACTCGATGCTCCCTGGGGAAGTATTGTCTTGTCAAATTGACTTTCCCTGTCCTAGCTCTTTGCCTTCCTTACCTGTTATCCCATGTAGATGGTTGCCAGCCTAATGAAGTGTGTATATAGCAAGGTTGCTTGCAAATTTTAATTTGGGGATTGGTATTAAAAACAAAAGGTTAGGAACGTTTTGCCAGAGTATAAAAGTATATATCTATAGTGCTTCGAAATTTACACTAATACAAATACTACAAGCAAGGCCTGCTAAAGTAAAGACTATGGGGCAGGGGGTGCAGCTTGGGTAGAGCACTTGGCTGTCGTGCACAAGATCCTGCGTTCTATCCCCAGCCCAGCACCAAGAAAAAATAAATCACTTCTTTTGGTGGGGGGCTGGGTTTGAACTCAGGACCTTGAGCTTGCGAGGCAGGTGGCAGCACCACTGAGTTAAATCCCCAGCCTTACAAAGTATCACTTCTAAACAGGTTTATTTTGAGGGCTGGGGATTTGGCCTAGTGGTTCCGCCGCCTGCTTCACAAGTGCAAGGGCCCAAATTCAATCCCAGTACCAAAAAAAAAAAAAGCTGAGTAGTGATTTATATAAGCATTGTTTTTCCACACCTCTTTCATATGGGTTGTAAATGAGGAAAATTACAGGATGATAAAGGATTGTTGGTACTGTTACTGCAAGCCACATCCAAAGTATTATGTTATAGCTCTCTGTGAGAGAGCTGCATAGTTTCACACCATACTGCACACTTCTTAAACTGTGTTAACTAGATAGAGTGTGACTACCCCAAGTCTTAGGAGGCTTTTGTGTGCTTTTGCCACTAAATTAGTAGCTGCAAAATTGTGGTTCCCAGGCCAGCAGCATCGCATTATCTGAGAAGGTGTCACAAATGTAAATGCAGATTCCCAGGCCTTGTGTCAGAACTTCCGAGTCAGGAACTCTGGAATGGAGCCCAGCAATTGTACATCACAAGCCCTCCAGGTGCTGCTGATCACGTTGAAAACTGGAGAACCATTGTGCTAAAAGCATGGAACTCTTTCCTTTCCTGGGGGGAGTAAAATGTCCAATTAAAATAAACTGTGTATTCCTCCTTGCGGAAAGGGTAGCTTCTACTTCCACATGCTGCCAGCTCATCTTCTCTCTTTCTCCACTGGCTGAGCATATTCCCAGATAGGAAACAGCTTCGGTAGCTTTACCTTCACTTAGTTTTGCACTGTAAAGCTCTTGAGGTGTCGACAGAGGGACCGTAGTGTCCTCTTTCCTGTCACTGCTCACCATGCCATTCATAAAGAATTCAGATGATTCCCAGTTGGTCAGCAGGTCAGGAACCCTGAATAAGGGGAGAGAGGGCTGGCTGTCTCTTGAGATATAATAACAAGATCAAGGGTAGAAGCAACGAATGAGCTCTGTATGGAGAAGTAATGATAAGAGAAAGTAAGTTATTGGGCAGGAAATCTATAATCAATTAGAAATAATGGTAGGAAGAAAAGAAGATACCTTAAAATTCAGGCCAGGACCCAGTGCAGGTAGTAGGTCAACATTAGCTTTTTTTTTTTTTTTTTTTTTTC